CGTGCAAGCGAGCACGATTACAATTACATTATAACGAATACAGTTATACCTCCAAATCGTCCGAGATTTGTTGCCGTTGTGGCGCTACTGGAGGATCTGGTAGACTTCGGCGTGATCAAGGCCTTGCGGAACAGCTGATGACGCTGCTTGGACAAGATATTGCTCTTCCTCTGCCATGACTCTCAACGAAATTCGTCCAGTTCGGGTCACCCAATTTTTGTCTTTCGGTTAGATTTGTGTCTCCTGACGGATTCACGCTAAATGGTGCAATTTCTGCTAGGTATGGTCATTTTATACATTGCCTGTATCACCTGATACCAGGGGCGGCGGAACAGATTTCGTTCTGGGGGGGCTAAATTTTTTAGGCGACCCCCCCCCGTCGCCAAAAAAATTTCGGTCAGTGTACCACTTTAGGGTATAATATACAAAAAAGGGGACGAAAAAAATTTTTCCGGACTTATATCAAAAATTTTTTTCGCAAATACGCTTTTTTTAAACAAAATATTGCAAATTTGTCCCCTTATACCTAAATTTTCAAAAAATAACCTAAATTTTTCCCTAATTTTCAAAATTTTTTCGAAAAATTCAAATTTTCTGGGGGGGCTAAGCCCCCCCACTTTTACTTCTGGGGGGCTTTAGCCCCCCTAGCCCCCCCTGTTCCGCCGCCCCTGGTCAATACGACATTCAACTGGGAGCCAATGTAAGCTTCGTAACAATGGTGTAATTCGGCAAAACTTTGACTCTTGGAACACGAGACGTGCAGCGGCATTTTGCTCAGTTTGCACCCTCTGTAGCTTGCTTAATTGGGAATTCGGCAATCCATACAATAAGTTGTTGCAGTAATCCAAGCGACTGGATATAAAGCATGTATGAGTGTCCCGGTCGCTTCTTTATAGGGTACTTTCTAATGCGTCTTATATTACTATGGAAAGTAAAATCCAGAAGAGCATGTCTTCGAAATGTGTATGCTCACGGGTGACGGTTAGAATCAAACCGCATACTCCTAAATGTCCATAGCACCAACCGTGCCTGGGTGTACGGGCCTAATCTTGTT